ATATATATATATATATATATATGTATACAGGGAGCTAGAAGGAGTGAGAGAGAGATAAAACAAAAGATATGCCTGACCGCGAACATCCATTCGTCAATGAACATAAGCATTCTAGTCAGTGACAGCAAGAGGAATAATAAATAATAATAATAATAACAATAATAAGTGGTTGTGGTAGTAACAATAAGAATAGCAACAGCCAGTAAAAGAAAAAAAAAAAGCAACAGCACCAGCATCAGCAACGACAAGAGGGGGAAAAAGAAAACAAAAGAAAAAAATCAACGACAAATAGAAGAGGACAGGCAATATTACATATATTATATAATAACAATAACAATATATATAAATATATATAAATATAAATATATATATGAGATAGATAAACGAGAGGGGTAGGCAAACCACAAGCCCACAGCATTACGTGCAAATAAATCGATGAAGAGTATATGAAAAAAAAGCAATTTTCTCTTTTGCCTTCTGCTGTGGTAGAGCAATGAAAATCAAAAAAAAAAACCAGAAATTCGCATAGAAGAAGTAAAAAAAAAAAAAATCAGGACGAAAAAAAAGGAAATATGTGAAGAGAAAGAGAGAGAGAAATGTCCACCACACGCACAAAAAGAAAACGTAGCATTAGACATATATATATATATATATCTTTTCTTTCTTTTCTTTTACTTCACTTCTTTTTCTTTATTTTCTTCTTTTTAATTTCTTTCTTTCTTTATCTCAAGCCAGTAGGTCCCCTCTGCGTAAGGCAAGAAAGGTCAGACTGTAGGAAGAGCAGGCCCAGTAAGCGCAGCAAAAGAAAAAAAGGAACCCACTCATCCCTGTACTCTATTCTCTTTTTTTTTTTTTCTTATTTCTCTCCATCTCCCTACCACAGATATATATATATATATATATATATAGAAACAAGCAAACAGACTTCTAAGACTTTCCTTTTTCCTTTTAGACTGTTGTTGTTGCTGTTGTTTTAATTGAATTTGAGTGTTTAGTGAATAATCATTTCCATCTTTCCCTACCGGCTACCCACGCTCTCTCTTTTTTTTTCTTTCTTTCTTTCTCTCCCCCTCTATCTATGTATCTATCTCCTATCATTTCATTCTTTTCCCTTTTTTTTTCCTTATATCGCTCTTCTCCGCTATTGTAGTCCCTTTTCCCTCAGATGCCTCTCGCCAATGCCATTCCGCAATCCCACTCATGCCCCACCAGGGGGGAACACGGTGTCTGCATATATATATATATATATATATATATATATATATCCTTCTTTATTTATTTCTTGTTAAGAATAAAAAAAAGGCAGCACTATGTGATTGCACTGTTCAAACACACAAACGCACACATATGCAGACACACAAACACACACAGAGATACTTCTCATGTTGTTCTCCTTGTTGTTGTTCTTGTTCATTCCGCTGTTCAGTCATCCCCACCGAGGACTCCACGTTTCCCCGTGATAAAGGCAAAGGTAGATCAGCAATAACAATCACAATAATAATCATAATAATAAATAATCACAAACAAAAAAAAAGGAAGAAGGAAGAGGAGGAAAAGGAGGAAACACGAGAGGGTCATAGTCACTTGTGTTCACCTCACACCGTTGCTCTAACCCCCTCTGGAAGTTGTGTTTTCTTTCTTCTTTTTTTTTCAAAGAAAAAAAAAAAAGAGAAAGAAAACAATAATAATAAAAGAGGGGGATGTTGACAGCGTCAAACATCTCTTCGGTCTCTTCCTCACACTCACACCATTTCAACACAGGCACAAATACACACAAAATACCCTCGACACAACGCAGCCGCTGCCACCGTCTATAATCCCAAAACAGACAGTGAGCTAATCAAACACCGCCGCCCGCGCCGCAAATGAGGGAAAGAGGTAAGAAATAAAAAGAAAAAGAAAAGAAAAGAAAAAGAGAGGTTAAAAATAAGGAATCAGATGTATATAACATCCCCGTAGTTCAAACGTTTAATAATTATTTCTCTTAACTCCCATCTCTCTCTTTTTTTTTCTTTTCTTGCTAGACTTTACACCCACCCCTCTATGTGGGTTTCTCTTTTTTTTTTTCTTTTTTTCTATCGACCTCTCTCTTTGCATATATATATCTGTGTGCCTGTAAGTGTGTGCTTTTTTTTTTTTTTTTGAGTACTGATGATGTTCCTTCTCCCTCTTTTTTATCCACTACACCTCATTTTCTTCTTTTTTTTTCATGTTTTTACATCCGTTTCTCTCCTCTCTCTCTCTCTCTCTCCTTTCTCTGTGCGTATGTGCAGTGTTCTCCTTCCTTTTTGTTTTGTCTTGTTTTTTTTTTTTTTTGTTGGTGTTAGTGTTCCCCCGTCTTCGCTTTCTCTTTTTTTCCTTATTTTTTTTTTTTTCTGCCATTCTTCTTCACACCCCTCTTTATCGTGATGGATGCGAGCCACGGGATCCCTCCACTGCCGCTCTACCAGTAGTATTCGTGGATGTTGCTGAGGTGGATGGCCCACTCTTTGAACCGTGTCCATTCGACCCGTCTACACCCGAAGTTGTTGTGCGCCGCGATGCGGAGTCGACAGACTTCTTCTCATCGTGTTGTCTGTCGCCGCCGCCACTGCGTCCACTAGATGTATTCCGGTTGTTCTTATCACTGCCTTTGCGGTTGCTTCTGCTACGCATTTGGTCCTTTTTCTTCTCCGTTGCGGAAGACACGTTGAGCCGGGAACGTGGCACTGGCAGCGGAGCCGCCGCCCCACCACCACCACCACCACTTGATCCACTGCTGTTATTTGTGTTTTGTTGTGATTGTTGTTGTTGTTGTTGTGAATGAGCAGCAGCACTATTGCTACTACCAGCGGTGCCCTTCTCTCTCTCTCGTCGTTCTTCTTCCTTCTCCATTTTTAACCGGAGAACCCTTTTGGGATCATTCAGGCAGCGCTCAAACTGTTGGTGCTGTGGGGTGAGATTGAGGATTGGACCATTTTGTCCATATTGCCCCATAAAGAAAGAGGCAAGTGTAAAGTCATTGGTAGAGATGAACGTGATGAGCATTGTACGACGCCCACGACGGCTATTTTCCGGATCGGCTGTAGTGTGCAAGACTTGAACATACTCTCGACGTTCACGCTCGGTAAGAGACTTTTGGGGTGGGTAATACTGTATGAGTACATCCACATCCATTAAATCAATCTCCGTCGTAGCATCCCAGGTTACTAAAAGCGCAGAGGAACCTTTATTATTAGCATTGTTGTTGTTGTTGTTATTGCCACTGTCATTGTTGCTGTTTCCAGTGGAGGAAGAACTGTTGGTACTTGAATCGCCGAGAAATCCCATCAAGGATGTATCCCGCCGTTCTCGGCTATCCGTACGAAACATACAGCACATAAAATTAGAACCCTTACCACCTCCCCCAGCAAGTGATTCACTGGGAGCGTTGTAGAGACCCCATTTAGATACTGTTTGATACAGGTGTTTAATCTCCTTGTGGTGAGTCAGTATTACCACACGGCGTGATTGGTAGATTTGCAACACACGACGCAGCAACTCCTCACGATCCTTCTCATCCAAGTATAAGAGGTACACCAATTGTGTGGACGACGGCGGCGCAGTACCGGACGGAGTCTGCAACGCCGCTCCAGCAGAAAGAGATGGACCTTGCAAATGATAATAACGTCGGTTTCTGTGATTTAAACAGTAGCGAATCTTTGGACTCACTTTTGTGAGTGGTGCAAGGTACATAAGAAATATATTCGCCGTACGTTTTGTTGTATTGTGTGGATTTGATGCGGAAATAGAACTATTCCCTCCTCCCCCTTGTACTTGTTGTTGGGATGACGATGATACAGATGCCGGTTGTGGTGGTTGTGATGTTATCCCTCGAAGAATCTCCTCTAGATGTCGTTCATTATGATGACCCGCATCTTCCACCGCAAATGTTGTGATGGACCTCAGAAGTTCCTTATTCCATGAACGCAACACACGAAGGGTGGTGATGATAACATTACGAACTTTACCTGCAGACGCAGATGACTGGGAATTGCTGTTGTTGTTGTTGTTCGCAGCAGCAGCAGCAGCATCCGCACCTGATGGTAACAACACCGATGATGGCGGTCGTCCTTCTTGTGTCAACACGTGGCACTCAATATCGCACAGCTGCGCAAATGGTTTCATAATCTTCCTCAGTTGCGCCGCAGAGTCTTTGGTGTTCGCCAGTAGCACCGCCGTACACCGCAGTTGATCCTCCGTAGAGAGAAGACAATGCCCCAGAAAGACGGTAATGAGTGTATACCGCTCTGTTAAGGCAGTGCGCGAATTCAACGCCCCACCATCATTATTACCACCACTGTTAGAACTGTTGTTGTTGTTGCTATTTGTGGTGTTTTGATTTCCCCCACCTGCGGCCCGTCCGTCCACTACAACATCTGCGAAATCCGTTTTGATGTTCGAAAGCACACGAACTTGAAACGGCGTTGGGTGCATTTTCACCTGTCGTAGCGCGGCTGTCATCGTGGGGTGAAGGTTCAGCATCTCCACAAGGAGTTTTTTGCTCATTGTACTTGTTTCCTTGCTTCCTTTTTTTTTTTTTTTTTTCCTCACCTTTTATCTCTGCTTCTCTTCTCCTCTCTTTCTCTCTTGTTTCTTCCTTTTTTTTTTTCTCCGCTTTCCCGATGATTGTCCGTTCTTTTTTGCTTTTCTTTTTTTTGTTGTTCTCCCCTCACTCCCGTTTCTTTTGCTCTTCTGTGCGTGTGTGGGTTTGCTACACTTTCACAGGGAAACAACATCATGCAAAGTAATTTTACAGAAATAAAGAAGGGTACAAAAAAACAAAAAAAAAACAAAAAGAAAGGAAGAGAAGGTAGAAAAAAACAACAATGAAATCAATAAAAAAAAACACAGAAACAAAGAAAAAATATCTTATGGTACCACTATTACTATTACTACTAATAGTAGTACTAGTGACTATTCTTATGGTAGTAATATTAACCGTAATGAGAGTGGTGGTGGTGTTATCTCGCGAGGAGCTTAAAGAGAAAGAGCAGCTAAGAGATTTTTAGTTTATACCTTTCCCAACCACTCAACAAAAATGAAAAAAAAAAAAAAACAATAACACCCAAAAATACAGCAAAATCGGTAATAATAAATAAAAGAATAAAAATAAAAAATAAATAAAGAAAATAAAAATACAGAATGGAAAAATATCATTCAGGTGTCAGTTTACACATTTTGTCACTAAAACTTCGATACCAAATAGAGTGAAAGAGAAAAATAGAATAAATGTCAATAGGTTAGAAAAGTAAGAAGATTCAAGAAACTCTAATGTTCACCCCTGATGGCTGTATTAGAGGATCTATCTCCCCCCAATTCATCGTATTCACTTTCATAAAATACAATTAAATAAAAAAATGAACTGCTTTTTTGGAGTGTAAGTCTGTAATTTCTCTGGTTATTGTTGTTTTTGTTTTTTTTTTTTTTTTGGTTGTGGTCCAACTGTGAAATAGAGCCCATAGTACTGCCTTTTTCAGCACATGTTGTCTGTAATGTTTCTCTACTTTTTTTTTCTTTTCTATTTGGTTCTCCTTCCTCTACCTTTACCCTTTTTTTTTTCTTTTTTTTTCTTCTTTTTCTTCTTCTTCCTCCTCCTCCTCCTCCTCTACAACCACGATAGATGGTGATCTATTTAATAACTGCAACTCTATCGGCTCCTGATGGGGTCTTTTGAATGGTGACTGCAGAGCGTGTGGGTTCTGTTTTAATGGGCTATTCTTTAATTTTTGTTCCTCTTCCAGTTGTTTTTCCTGTTCTTGTTGTTCTTCTTCTATTTCTTTTTCTTCTTTTTCTCGTAGTTGTTGTTGTTGTTGTTGTTGTTGTTGTTGTTTTGTGTACAGCTCCATTATTCGCAGTTCCACAGTCCTACACGTCTCCTTCATGTTTGGCACTTCTGCCCGACGTTCGCAGCGCTGCAGAGTGGCAAAGAAGACATCCCGCTCCACCATCAATCGCTCCACCTCTCTTCTACTCTGCGGCATAGATCTAAACAGAAGTGATAGATTTGAAAGTGTTTCTTGTAGTTTATTATTTTCCTCCACAACTGCTGTTTTCTCGTCCTGTAGAATCACAATTTCATCACTTTTTTGTCGTAATTGAAGATCCGCCGCCTCCAGCACAGAGATGCGTTCCAAGATGGAGTCCAGTCGTTTCTTAACTGTGCCATTGATACTACTTTCATTTCCATTTCCATTTCCTTCATTCTTTTCTATATCCTTATGCAAGTATGCAGGTAATAGTGTAGAGATCGTCTCTTGTAGCTGCATCTCCATCATTGATATCATTTCTTCTTGCCCTCGTGTGTGTTCCAGTTGTGATTGCACAAGTTCTAGCATTCCACGAACCTCTGTCAACTCCAACTGCAGCTTCTCCATATTGGTATCCTTCTTTAGTAGTAATGCCTGCGCTTGGTCAAGAGAACGTGAAAGTTGCCGTACACGTAATTTATAATCATCTATAGTTTGATACTGCTGATGTAGTTCCTCTTTCAGCGCAGTAAGTCTTAACTGTGAACCAACAGGAGTAGTAGTAATAGTAGTAGTAAGGTTATCCGGGTGTTGATCATATTCCATTGTGGTACTAGAAACATCTTTTGTTCTCTGTGTTTGTGCTCGTTCCCATTCCATCTTCTCTACACGTGCCTTAAGTCGTCCAATCTCTCCTTTTGCCATCTCATGTGCTAACACCGCATCTACTCTTTGTCTTTCTTTCAATACTAATTCTTGTTCCTGTTCCCGAATCTTCTGTAGTAGAACAGTGAGTCCTTCATTTAGCTGCTCTGCTCCACCTATAGAGGCTTGTTGACTTGTATGCAGCTCTTCTCGTATTTGAGTGATTTTATTACGCAGAAATGTGTTTTGACGCCGCAGACCCTCCATAGATGGTTCAGACTGGAAACCAGTAATATGTGTTCCATCCATGTTAGCAACCATTCCCTCAACATTACAGCTATTAGTATTAATATGATTAGTATTTTCACTATTATCAGCCATATAATCATCATGACTATCACTATTGTTTTTTCTGTGAAATTTTCTTAAAGAAAGAGTCTTATTCACCAAAGATTCACTATCCCCTGATTTTAATCGTTGAAGTTCCTCTCTAGCACGCATAAGCTCTTCCTCTAATGTTTGCACTCGGCGGTCGTACATTTGTCGCATAGCCTCCTTTGTTGTCTCTAATGAAATAGTGTAGGGTAAATGAGTGTCTGTAGATATATCTTTTCTCATGGGAGTTACTCCGTGTTGTTGTGTTATCATGTGAAGCAGACGATTATGTTCTTCCTTTAGTGAAGTCAGTTCCTCTTGAAGTGATACACTTGTTCTTTCAGCGACCATAAGCTTTTCTCTAGCGGCGTTCCTCTCCTGTAGTAGTCGTGCCAGCTGATATGCCTTCTCAAACTCATCATTTCGCATATCCTTACCGGTATTATTATTATTATCATTATTATTACTATTACTCTTGTTCTTCATAAAGGGGTAAATTACTGGGGCAATTTCTTTCTCAGTTGATTCTCCAACAGTTTGGGGTAATTGCAACGAAGAAAACGATAATGCTGCTGATGTTACCCCTTCTAATGATGAAGATGATGATGATAAGCTGCTGACCAGCCGCACATCATTCTGTGCCCTTTCCACCAGTTCCATCAACTTATGAAGTGTCGTGTGCACGTCTTTACTCCACGTTGGCAGTCTGCCATCCGTTTGTGGACTCTTCAGTGCACTTTCAGCGGTAATTTGGATTTGCTCAAGACTTGTTTTGGTAAGATTGATGAGATACGAGAGACACTGCTGGAGATAGAGAACCTCAGCACGGGAGTCACTGTTGGCAGGAGAAACACCATCACTTACCCACTGCATTGATATGGCGTATGTGAACCTCACTCTTTTTCCTCGCTTGTGTATATTACCAGAAGAAGAAAAATAGATTTATGGAGAAAAGTGAAAGAAAATAAAAGAAAATTCCAGTAATAAGAAAGAAAAAGGAAAATGGTTCAACATTGTTTTGATCAAAGAAATCAAAGAAACAAAATAAAGAGCAACAAAAAAAAAATAAAAATAAAAAACTTGTCTCATGTACATATTTACTTGTTTCTTTGTAAACTCGTAAAGGTGTAAGTGGGAATAACTCTTTGTTCTTTTCTTAACTACAGAAAGTAAATTCAATGATATCAGCAGTAATGACGGAAAAACATATTCTCACCACTTCTTCCTCCTTTGTCATTTGTCTTTCATTTTGTTTTTCAATTGCGGTTCTTTAGTACGGTGCAAATGGGGCGCTGGATCGCCGCAACTCATTAGTCCAATCCACTAACGAGCGGCGGCCACCCAATTGTTTCCTGTTTTTCACATCCCCAACTACATGAGACTGTACATCAACTATAAGAGTTTCGTTAGTATTAACATCGGCAGGTTGTATGCGGGACGGATCCCCATTATCAGCACGTACTTCCCGTGAATGAACATGAGCAGCATACACCTCGTATTCTTTGCTGTCATCAGAAAAAACGTTGTTTGATTCAACGTAATCATTTCCACCTCTACTGTCCACTCGGTGTTCATCAGCTGGTGTAGTGTAGGGCTTAACATGAGGATTTCCACCTCCACTGCTCACACTGTGTTCATCAGCTGGT